GCTACATGATACGCGACGTGGTACCAGACAAGGCTCTACCACTATCATTCTCAGGGCCTTGGAAGGACGAGAGTTACATGCTCTACTTCAGTTACAGTAAGCCGGACGACAACGATATCGACGATACTCCAGAGGTGGATCTCAGTGGTGTTGGAGGTCCTTCGCCTATTCCATGGATAGCATCGCCATGGGCGTCGTTTGGTGGCTCATGGCTAGAAGCAGACGAGGAGGACAACAATCAACGACAGACAGGAGGCCCTGGAGCTCCTCCAGGACTTGGCGGACAGCAGCCACTTCCTCCGCAGCCTCCAGCTCCAGTCAAGGCGCCACCCGTCGAACGTCGACCGGTACCAGATCAAGTTCAACAAGCTCCAGTACCCAAGCAGATACCACAGCCAGTGGTATTATTTCCACACGAGCCGAAGACACCTTCACCAGTCAGGCGAGTATCAATCTCTCCTGACGACGTCACGCTGGATGTCTCGGCATCTACTTTACCAGAGGTCGCGGCTGGCGCACTGCAGCCACCGCCGCCTCCTTCAGGAGGAGCAGGATCAGTGACAGTACCCAAAGTCCATGCAGCTGAATTTGTTCCTGTACCTCCTGTCGCTTCACCAGCGAGGTTCGAGATGCACACGCCACCTCCTGGTCCAGGAGAAATAGATCCATATGATCAAGCAGATACGGACATCGGCAAGATACCAGATTCACCAGTACGTTCACCAGATACGGCAGATCGTTCAAGATCCCGACTTATGAGTCCACCGCTTCCGCCTCCAGCGCCACCTCCACCAAAGGCCTCAACAGGAAGGGTTTCAGTCACTTCATCGCCAAAAGGCGCACCTGGATCACCAGCGCCATGGTATGACAAGCCTGTGCCAGGTTCTGTTCCGCCGACACCGGCACCTGCGACGACACCTCCACTGGATTTTCATGGAGTGCCATTTGGAGTGGACCTAGAGAGTCCTGAGGCTACGGTGGACTATGGACAAGCGAAGTCGGGAGCTGCTTCGCCATTGCCGAATGTACCACCTATGCCAGGAATGGAGAACGAAGGACCAACGCCTACTACGTCAGAGTTAGAACGGTCTCGAACAAGAGACTACGGACCTGCTCAAGATCCACGTGAACATGAAGGACAGCATGATCGACAAGTGCGACAAGAAACACTTCGGCATAAACCACCAGTATCACCGATCGCGCCAAGGGCTCCTCCTCAAAGCGAGATGCTTCAGCAAGCCCGACAAACGATCGCCCGACGCAATCATCAAGGAGCTCTGGGCCGCCAGCAACTGCAAGTGCGGAGCCAATTTTACCTATTGTCGAGCCGGTCGACAACGAGGAGACCATCGACTACGGCCCGACCGAAGGCGACACGATCGAGTTAGACAAACAGGAGCTGCTCGAGCTGCACAGTTATCAGGTATGGCATGGTGCCCAACATGCAGAGCATCAGTTGTCTAAACCTCTTCGGCGTCTGGCAGCTGGAAGCTTTACTCCACGCTACGATGAGGACTATTTCGCTCACGCCATTGCAGATGCAGAACAGATTCTACATTTCAGTCAGCAAGCTGAACGAGGTGAACTACCATGGAGTGCCGAAGATGCTTTCGCAGTTCTATCAGGGCCAGTGACCAGGCCCATGTGTTTCTACTATGATATCAAAGAGGACCAATGCTTTTCAGTTTCATCAGATGATCTGCTCACACCACAAGAGGTGATCGACAACTGGGATGCAGTTGAGATCGGCGGCTACGAGGAGGCAGTATCTTTGTACAGTTACGACGTCTTCGAGATCGACCTATCGGCGAACGCGACGAACGTGGTAGATGGTATATGGGTTCGCAAGTGGAAGAGTCGTCAGAAGCGCATCGTCAAGTCCAGATGCTGTGGTCGCGGCTTCTTGGATCGACAGAAAACCTCAGTAAGTCGCCACTCATCGGCAGCATCACGTCTCAGCCATAGGCAGCTTTGCTCATTGGCCATCCAGTTCGAGCTGACCATGGAGAGTTTCGACATCTCGACTGCCTTCCTCCAGGGACTGAAGTTCTCAGAGGTTGTTTCCAAGGCCAAGGAGCTTGGTCATGAGGTGGAGGAGGCACGCCAAGTATAGTTTCGCCCACCAGCGAACTTGTGGAGACATTGGAGAAGCATTCCACGGAGCAACATCGTTGTGATCGATGGCGACATCCCGCTCTTCATCCTGAAGTGTCTCAAGGCTCTATATGGATTAGTGGATGCTTCTTTGTTGTGGCAGCTGGCTTTGCTTCACTACCTCAAGCTGGACACCGGCTACAGGATGAGCACGCGTGACGAGTGTTTCCTGGTGATCATTGATGGCTGGAAGGTGGTTTCTCTGTGTATTATTCATGTTGACGATTTACTTCTTGCAGCCACGAAGAAGTTTCTCGATTATATAGCACAGAAGCTTGGACAGAAGTTTGGCAACCCCAAGAGGACTAGTCTGCCATTCGTGTACCTGGGCATGAAGCACGAGATGCTAGCGCCAGGCCACCTGCTGATTCACCAGCAGCATTACCTCGAGAAATTGCCAGAGGCCAAGTTCACGAACGCGTTCAACATGAAGAAGGATTTCCAGGAGCTGGACGAGTACGAGCACCACCAGTTCAGGTCGCTGGTATGTAGTTTACTGTGGCTGTGCCTTACGCGTATTGACATTGCACATGACGTCGTGGCTCTTCAATCGGAGATGGTGTGCCCAGAGGTCCAGCACCTGAAGCAGGCGAATCGAGTCCTTGCCAAGGCAAAGAAGACGAAGGAGATGAATGGGTTGCACTACCACCAGATGGAGTTCCCAGTACGTCTTTGCAGTATTCACGACTGTGGACATGCTAGCAAGAAGAGTGTTTATCCATACGAGGGCAAGTTTGTGATGATGATGCACGACAGCCTGAAGAACGACACGCCCGAGTGGATTACCGGCCAGGACCTCGCGAGAGTTGGTGGATATGCGCACACCTTATTCTTCAGTGCTCGGAAGGCCTCAAGAGTATCCCATTCGACATCGCATGCAGAGACCTTATCGGCAATCGGTTGTACACAGATGGGCCAACTGGTTGCGGCACGCATCACGGAGCTATTATGCCAACAGGTTCTTTCTCCACGGAAGGTGATTACGGCTCACGACATGCTCGACCTCCACCAGCGCGATATCACGATAATCTCCCACGATTCTATGACGGACTGTATGGACCTCTATGAGTTGATTACTGGTGGCCGTGGCATACCATCAGACAAGAGCCAACGCGTTGCGATCATGGCGCTCAGAGAGGACCGTGTACAGCATCGTATCCGCTCTGTTCTACACGTACCCACGAGGACGATGCTGGCGGACGGATTGACCAAGGAGGGCTGGTACGACCAGCCCATGACGTACTGTACGACCGGCAAGATCAAGATGGTTTTGTTGAAGGACCAGGCCGTGCGCCACGAGAGATCGAGCCTCCAGCCGGAGGCCGGCGAGAAGGATATCGAGAACATCAAGGAGTAGCTGAGGCTCCTGAAGTACTACAACGAGCGTTGCTGTTGTGGATATTAAGACATGAGTTTCATGTACTGAAAACAAGAAATGTGAGCTGCCTGCTCCTTCTCCTCCTCTCGCCTCCAGCTTCCTCTATCCTCGAGTTTTTTTTTGATATTCAGATGTCTTTGGAATTGTTAGTTCTAGAGTTGTCCTGGAGTTCGTTGTCCTGGAAATCGGTTTCACGGTTCTTAGAAAGCCAGCTGTATGATAGAAAAGCATTGTTGCACGTCTTTCTGTAAGCTAAGCTTTAACCCTAGCTGTAGATTCAAAGCAGTATTGGTTTCAAGCCCAAAAGCCGTGGATCGCTCCACGCTCCGCTAGTTGATTTTCGGTTCTGTAAAGGACAGGCATCGGAGTTGGATTGTATATGGTTTCCTGAGTTCGGGGTAAGAGGCTTCAGAACCATCAGAGATGTTTGAATGTGTATTTGAATGTCTGTAATAATTATGGCTCAAACCATTACATGGTTCGATTGCATATGCTGGAAAACCAACTTCCCCCTCCCCTTCCCCCTGATGGGGGGTCCTGGGGCCACGGACGGGCGCCTTGCTCGTGGCCGCGGCTGGGCCCGCCTCGAAATTATTGCCGAAACGCCCCCTGGGGCAGCCACGCTCGAGGGGCTCCGCCCCGCGCTCCGATGGGGTCCGTCCGACAGTCCATGGGGGGGGGATTATCTTAAGAGCAACATCAGTTGTTCGCGTCGAGCTTTGTTCTACGTTTGCGACTTGAAATGCGTTCGTTCAAAAGGAACCCATTCAGTCCGACGTGCGTTCGTTTGGCCACGCACGGGTTCGCAAACGTGTTTGCGTACTTGTGGGCACACGCATATTTACGCTCCTAAACTTCGTGTTCGGTTCTGGGAAGCGAGAGAGAGATATATACAACACGAGGTGAGTCAGAGTAATGTGTTGAAGTGCGGTGGCCACGGAACAAAATATTACCGCTGTTTGTTGTGTTTCCCGCTATGTGACCGCATGGTGTGAGGCGAGTCAGTGTGATCAACGGTAGTATTACCTCGAATTTGTTCATTGTTGTTGATTCCTCACGTGTTGTGCATAATGTCTGTCGCATGTTCTTGATGGGGCGATAAGCGGGGTAGGGTCCTTTGAGGGGCGCCCTTTGGAAAAAGGTGGGGGCAATGGTGGAAACGGGTAGTCTCCATAAACAAGACGGCCCACACCTCCTTTGAGGCGGGGCCTTATTCGAAGGCCACTTTTCCAGGGAGGACAACCCTCCAACGCCCATCAATGATTGCGTTTACTAATGGCCCTGGGCGTTTTTTACAGTCCTGCCGTGTTCGATCCCTTCCTTCGGTGCGTTTATTGAACAGCTTCCCTTGAGGATAGTGTTTCTGTTCTCTAATTCTGCGCGCCGCTGATGCATGCGCGCATTGACTGGTGCACCTCGTGAGAGCGAAGGAGTTTCGCGGGCCAGTCATCGCCGGCGCCGCGCCCAGCGAAGTCCGAGAAGTCCGAGGACTTCGCGGAGCCGCCCCCGCCGTCCGAGGCGACCGGCGACATTGAAGAAGGAGGAGGAGGGGCAGGAGGAGGAGGAGGAGGAGGAGGAAGCGGAGGAGGAGGAGGGGGAGGAAAAGGAGGAAGAGGAGGAGGAGGAGGAAGAGGAAGAGGAAGAGGAGGAGGAGGAGGAGGAGGAGGAAGGGGAGGAGGAGGAAGAGGAGGAGGAAGAGGAGGAGGAGGAGGAAGAGGAGGGGGATGTTGCCCTCGCTCCACCTCTGGGCGAGCCGCGGGTGCGCGGCGCTGGCGTCGTTAGCAGGACGCGGCGAGACACGGCGTCTCAGCGCGAGCGCAGCAGGAGGAGGAGAGGGAGGAGGGGCGCGAGCAGGACGGCAGAGGGAGGGTAATCAGTGGAGCGATGGAGAGGGGGACGGACGGAGGGATAGAGGGATTGTGGGAAGTACAGTTTGGACGCTGAAGTGATCGGCCACGCGCAGAGTGGGGTAGGGGGAGGGGGGAAGGCTTCTTAGAAGCACCCCTGCTTCTTAGAAGGCGCGGGCCTCATACATACATATATATATATAGATATACATAGAAAGATATATGATTGTCTGTCTGTCTGTCTGTCTGTCTGTCTGTCTGTCTGTCTGTATGCATGTACGTACGTACGTACGTACGTATGCATGTATGTATGTATGTATGTATGTATGTATGTATGTATGTATGTATGTATGTACACATACACGCATATATATATATATATATAATGGTATATGTTACATAGTGAAGCATGTATAGCAGCGCAGAAGGGCCGTACTTGTGTCGGTTCAAGCTCTCATTTCACCAGATGCAACACAACATCTGGTGGGAAGGTCTGAAGGATTCTATCGTAGTAGGCATCCACTACTACACGGCCTCGCTGGCAGCGGTCTGCCCCGCTTGCCCCGAGGCCCACTTCCCCAGCCTCCCAGCCTGCCCGTCCCTGAGCTGCGGGGACTGCCGTTGCCCCGAGGGGACGTCGATCCCCCACGTGGCCGCCACTGGGGCCTTCATCGCCGTGGGCTTCCTGACCTTCGGGCTGGTGGTGGGCAGTCTCATCGGCTTCCTCGCTGGCCGGCTGCTGCCGGCACTGGCCTGCCCGCGGCGCTCCGCAGGCGCAGGCGTGGCGGGGCCGGCGTCGCCGGCCCACGTGCCTGCTGGCGTGGCGGCAGCCCTGCCGGACGTGCCGCACCAGCCGACCTCCGAGGTGGGGGAGGACGTCGCCGCTGAGGCGCGGGCTCAGGCTGCGGCAGTGCGCGAGAGGCGCGCCGCCGCGGCCCACCGCGGCTAGGCATGGCGGCGCCTGGCGTTGGCCCGCTCCTGCCGGCGGGCAGGGCGGGGCCACCGGCTCCGCCGGAGCCGGCTCATGCACTCTCGGCGGCCGGCGTCTCAGAGGGCGACTTCATCGCTGTGAAGTACAACGTTGCTGGGGCCGCGCTGTGGCACGAGAGGTGCGTCCTGCCGATCTCGAGCCTCCCGCCCCACACGCTCACGGGGTACACTCCCGACGGTGACTGCTACGAGGAGGACCTGTTGCCTGGGGGGGACATCGCGGCCTGGACCCCACTCGTGGGCCATGCGGCGGGCGGCGGCCTGCCGCCGCACCTGGCTGGTCAACGAGTACATGGATTTCGTGCCCTTCCTCTCCTGCACACCTTCGTGGCGGCGCGGACGGCGGCCGCTGCCCGTCTGAATGTAGTCCCTGCCGCTCACTTCGCTGTGAATGTCGGTCGCGCCGTGGCTGGAGGCCCGGCAGCGGCGGCCGCCGCACTTGCTCCAGCAGGTCCCGCGGCTGCAGGGCCGCCAGGTGGCTTGGCGCCAGGGGCTGCCCCCGGAGTGCCTGGAGGGGCGCTGGTGCCTCTCGCTCCGGCCCCGGGTGGCGGCGGCCTGGCTCCAGGCGGCCTGGCTGGTCTTGCGGCCGCTTTGGCCCCAGCGGGGCCTGGCCCAGCGCCCCCCGGCGCGTTGGCCCCCGGGGCCGGTGCGGCTCCGGGGGCGGGGGCCCCTGTGGGGCCGGCGGCCGGGGGGGGGGGTCCTGGGGTCCCTAGGGTTCTGGTGGCGGGAGCACCGCCGGTGCCCCCACCGGCGGCCCTGCTGCAGGACCCTCGCGTCCTGCCGATCACTCGGGATCAGCTGGGGCAGCGGCGCTGTGTCTTCAGAGAGGCAGTGCTTCAGATGCGGGAGGGCCCCTGGCCCGACTGGCCTCTTTCAGGGCCTCGCACCGCACTTTGGTGCTGTCGGTTTATTTCGGAGAACAGTACGACTCCCATGGGACATCACGTCCGCTGGCGCCAGGAAGCGGGTCTCACTGACAAGGACCTCGGGGTCGAGGAACACGAGAAATGTTGCAGGACCTTGGAGCTCGCCGCAGTGTATGACCAAGTCAATGTTCCCAATCATGCGACCCTGGAGATAGTGTGCAGAGATCTCCAGATTCAGGAGGAACGCTATCGAGAGAGAGTTGCCAACCCTGATCAGGCAGGCACAGGTAGGGTTCGCGGGAATTTATGCATCTGCCCTGACCTTCAGACTTGGGTCACGGCCGAGCTGGCCCGCGAGCATGCAATTGCTAAGGAACGTCGCGAAGCCCGTGAAGAAAGGGCCCTGGCTAGCGGGACCTCCAGCTCGGAGGCGAGTGGCAAGCCGGGGCCCAAGAAGAAATGAGTGCTTCGGGGGAGGTGAGCTTCAGGCCCCTCACCTCTCCCAGCGTCCAAGGCCCGTCTTCGCCGTCCCGCGGGGGGCCTAGCTCATCTTCCAGGCGGGTGCAGCGAGACCTTTTTCCCTTGCCTCTCCCCCAGACCCAGCAAAGTGTCGTTGGGGTCGCCAGGCCGAGCCGGAGGGTGTGGAAGCGCCGCCGGTGTCTGGAGCACGCCGATGCCTGGGCCGCCGACGGAGTCGCGTTGTTGAACGATCTCTACGGTGCTCGTGCCCAGCCTACCTCACCCAATGCGAGTCAGGAGCGGGTGCTGCACCATATACAGGAGTCTTACCGGGGCCTTGATCGCCCCCCGGGGGGCCCCGATTTTGCACAGGGAGCCCTCGGCGAGCTCCTGTCAGGGACCGCGATTTATGCTTCCGATTCGGGTCCCGTGGTGCCTAACTCTTTTGAGCGCGTTTCCTGGCCTTCTCGGGGCAGTAAGCCGGTCCCTGTCCTGGAGCTGCTTTCCCCGGCCGACGCGTCAGTGTTTAAGGATTGGCGAGGGAACCTGCTTAGGCCCCCGGCTGAGGCGGAGGCCCTGCGCCGCGAGGCTTGCCCGCGCGGGGCGTACGTCGATCCTCTCCTCTCCTCCAACCCGCTCGAGCACGGAAAGTTTTTAAAGGGGGGCCCACTTTCGGGGCATGCTGCATTTTCACCGTGCCCTGGGCCGAAAAGGGGCCACGGGGGTATTTTTCGTCTGCAAGAAAGGGGGCCAACAAATATTGATCTTCGACGCGCGGGTGGTCAATTGCTCCTTCAGGTCCCCACCTAGCACCCGTCTGTCAACTCCCAGTGCGTTTGCTAGTTTAGAAGTGCCAGGAGGTAAGCGCCACATCGCCTCGGGGGACCTCGAAACCGCGTTCTATCACATGGAGGTCCCCGCCAATATGTCGGACCTGTTCTCGCTGCCCGTGGTCGACGCTGGGGCCCTCGTTTCGCTCGGAGTGCCGGACGTCCCGGGAGGCCCTGGGGATGCCATACTGCCGTGTCTACGGGCCACGCCCATGGGGTTCAGCTGGGCCGCGCACGTCTGCCAAGCCTGTCTCCGAAACGTTGTTCGTGACGCCGGGTTCGTGGATTCCGATCTGGTGGAGGACGGGAGGCCTGGCCTGTGTCTCAGGTGCCCTTCGTCAATCGGTGCTGCTGCCTATGTCGACAACTTCTTTACCCTCGGTAAGTCAGCGAGGCGTGTGAACGAGCGTCTTCAGCATATCTCTCGGCGTCTGCAGTCTCTCGGCCTGGCTGTCCACGAGCTCCAGTCGGCATCCGAGGACGCAGAGTTTGTGGGACTGAGTCTTCGACGTGGCTGCGAGCTGTCGGTGCGCCACAAAAGCATCTGGCGTCTTCGTTATGCGTTGGAGGAGATACTGAGGAGAGGCCGATGCAGTGGGGCTCTCATGCGTGTGTTGGTTGGCCATATCACTTGGACTACCCTCATACGCCGCGAGGGGCTCAGCATCCTGCAGTCCGTGTATGCCTTTTTGGAGCTCGCGGGATCAACTCCTTCCACCCTGTGGCAGTCGGTTCGGCGAGAACTTTGGCAGGTTCGGTGCCTCCTCCCGCTACTCCGCCTCGACGTGTCGGCCGAGTGGCATCATCGAGTTTGCTGTAGTGATGCAAGTGATTTTGGTCTCGGGGTGGTTCATCGACATCTTGGGGCAGATCGTGTCGCAGCTATCGGTCGGACCTGCGAGCGTCGGCGTTATCGTGTTGAGGGGGCTGAACGAGCCAGAGAACGTGCCCTCCAACAGGATCACGAAGAGTACCCCCTCCCGGCAAGGTCACGGCGGTCTTCTCGGGTAACCTGGAGCCCAGCTACCTGGAGGTCTCAGAGGCCGAGTTCAACGAGGTCCCGGCGGGGCTTCTTCATCCTGGGAGCTGGGGAAACGTCGTGGCGGTCAAGGTGCCGCCTGGGTCCAACATTCTGGAGCTGGAGGGCGAGGCCCTCTTGCTGGCCTTGAGGCATCTGTTCAGGGACTCGTCGACGGTCGGCAAGCGTATCCTCGCGCTCGTCGTCGACAACCTCCCCCTGGCCCTTGGGGCCACAAAAGGCAGGGCCCGCTCAGTCCATCTTCGGGGACCTCTTCGGGAACTGGCTGCTTTGGGCCTCGCCACGGGGAGCCGCATCCACGTCCGTTGGATCCCGTCCGAGCTCAACCCCTCGGACTCCCTCTCTCGGGGCCGTCTGGGCTGGTTCTCAGGGGAGCGGGCTCCGCGCGCCCAGGGCCCCTCGGCGGCATGGCGCCCAAGCGGCAGCCAGCCGCAGCCCCGCGGCGGCGGAGGACGGCTGCCGACGCCCTGGCCCAGCAGCGGGCGTT